GCGGGGCGGGGGATTGGAGGAGAGGAGAATACCGTTTCGTGCAGAACATCATGGGCCAAAAGGGAAGCAAGGGAAACCATGAGAGCCAACTCAAAGTCCTCGAATATACAACAACATTGAACAACGGCAGGGCGGGTGGGGGGTGGCCGCCTCTCGAACAGCTGGGACACAAGCGCATAGAAAGAGCCTTGCGTGACACAGGCTTAGCCAACCTTTCGAGCCAATACCAGCGGCAGACAAGATGAACCAAGATGAAAATGGCAGTCACCACGGACGTGTCCCAAAGAAGAGACGTGGGTGCTCGATAGGGGACGCAAGGCGATAGGTACATCGGCTTGGAAATTAAACTACACGGCAATAAACACCCAGAAGTAGCAGCTACAGTGGGTACTCACCCCGAGCGAGAGCTGGTTGCAAGTCCCGAACAGCAGGTACATGAGGGGGGGTATAAGTGACGTGTACAGCCCGTACACCGCGGGTAGGTTTGCTAGCAGAGCGTAGCTCATCCCCATAGGGATGCACACGATGCCCTGCGAATTCGAACATGACGCGAGGATGCGATGCGGTCGCAGATAAAGGCAAGCGGGCAGCCGTTGGAGTTGCTGCTGTCGTCTTCACACTGACAAAAAAGGATCACATCTCTGCTGAGTAGATTCTGACACTTGCACTGGTCCAACGGACGCGGATGCCTTCCGTAGTTGGGAGAATAACTTCAAGCTGTTTTCGCGTTCTTATCGGAAAAAAATGAAAACGTTCTTCTACCTTGACGCAGCGTTTACCACCGCTCCCATCAGATTCCATCAGGAAGGGAAACGATTACCACCCCGTATCCTTCGTTCTGAATGAATGAATCGCCCCGCACTGAGTGGCATAGTGCCGTTGGTTAGCTTTCGTACATGAGCAAGTATGCTCTCGTTCAGTCACGCGACATGATGGGATGCGAAGCAGGTGATTGGTACATCTCCCACCGCATGTCCGCTCCGTTACAACAACCACAGCACACACCCGCAACCCGCAACCACGGTGTTGTACGGATAATTTACTACAGCAGTCCACATGGCCACACCCCTCCTTCGCAGAAACCTGACATAATTAGTGTTCGTATGCCTTCCGCGTACTGTACGCAACAATTACCACACCTGATGGTGGTGGTGCAAGTTGGATGATACATTATTCTACCTTGACAAGAAAGGTGTACGTGCAACACACAACACACCACATGTACAACACGCGCCCCTCTGCTTTGTACGCTAAACATGAAACTTCTGACGTCGACATCCACTGGAAATGTGACCTCCAGAGTGGGTTCAGGAGAGCACAGCAGCAGTGTCACTAAAGGGGTGATGTGACTGTATGAAAAACGAGCAGAGAAACCTCGACGCGATTGTATGCGGACGGGCTGCCGGCTGTGATGCTGTGATGCTGTCGAAGCTCCAACAGCGCAGACGTGTTTCAACTCGAAGAGCCAGCGAACCAAACCACCAAATCGAGCCGAAAGACAATCCTAACATCTTTGTCACGGTGTACTGTACTGATGTCTCTCTCACCGCTCTCACCTCTCTCACCTCTCTCACACATAACATGCATGTACTACTGGACTGGACTGCAGACGTGTAGGTTACGTACCTCCGTGAGACCCGCGGCAAGGTCATTGGCGAAGTATTCTCTCTGGTAGGTGCGGACCGTGATCAAGAAAGGGAGCGACTCCAACGACTTCCGCCAGTCGAACGAGGGTATGCAGCCTTTCGCCTCCCTGTGCCTCCGAAGTTTCTGGGCGGCCGCCCGAGAGAACTTAGCGTAGTGGCTCTTGATATCGCTCGTGATCGACTTCATCAGTCCGTCTCGCCTTCAAAAAATAATTGGTTCGATCGTGTCGTATCGTGTCGTGTTGGCACAAAGGGGCGACAACACGCACCAGCACCATCGGCAGAACATCAGAGCAGCAGGGATAGTTGGTCGGTGAGCAAGTTACGATGGGGGCTTAGACCACAGCAGGCCGTTGCTTGAAAACAAGAGCGGCAGTGGCAACAATCGGTGCCAAAGCCGGAACCAGCTCACGATATCGAGCAAGGAAGTCTTCATCACTTGGATATTTGGAAAAGGGTTACTACGAGACAAGCATGTAAATACCATCACAACAGACCTTACAGCGACGTCGCTTGCTCTCGTTCCCTTTCGTCCCCTGCCGTCCCCAAGTCCTCGTCTACCCACGGACTGCCTACACAAAGAAAGTAAGTCTATTTCTGGTTTCCGACGGGGAAGGATGAGATGAAAATACCGCACCGACACCCGACACCAACCCCGAGTCGACTACGGAACACCACCATATCAGTCTTGTACCAATGCAGTAGTACGTATCACCGGTCGCCCCGGTGGTCTAGTGGGTAGTCTTGCAGTCTGCTAAGGGCCAGGTCATGGGTTCGAGTCCCGACAGAGTGAGTTTTTTCTCGTTAATTAAATCCTCGTCTCCGTTGGAAGCGGACGCGCTGCAAAGCTCGTTGTTAGTAAACATGATCGACTTCATAAGTCGCGAGGGAAGGGATTGCTGTACCATTCTCGCCATAAACATATCTCAGGCAGGAACCGCAGGAGGGGGTTCAACCCCCCTCTCCTATGTGACCCCGGTTGGGTCGTCTAGCCGGTAGAAATGGAGGATAAGGGCCAGCGGGGCAGACGACAGAGTCCAATTATGGGAGACAATAATGGTATAAAAAAATATATATATATATATATCTTCGCGACTCACTCACTCTTCTAGGGAGTACTCGTAAATTTCCTCCGCGTGCCCCCTCTCCGGGTGCAAGATCCTCAGCTGTTCGTACGTCTTGAGGCCGGACCTCCCCCTGCGATGGCCTCGCCAGTCTCCACGATCACCTTCCAGTGACTCGAGCGTATCCATACGACTCCGCCGGTGAGTCCCCTCGCGGAGGTCGGTCGATACCTCCACATCCTCATCCTCATCCTCATCCTCATCCTGTGTGTGTGTGTGTGGGGGGGGGGGGGTACTCATAGTCGTGCATGCCGTAGTCGTTAGACCATCGACCTCGCATCCCTACAAAGCTGGGACGGAGCACGCCGGGTTCTCACCGGACCAGGCTCTCATATCACCAAGCGCGAAGCGCCGTGAGGTATTCCGCGAGTCGCATGAAGGGTGCGCTGCATCCTGCTAAGGGCGTTCGGCATCTTGTGCTTACTTCCTTGCGTACGGATGACAGCTGCGTATGACTTAATATATTTTCTGGTGCTTTCACTTCCTGAGAAGGTTGTAAGCACTGTGTAACTGCCTCGAGGGTGCTTGACCATTTTAACACAACGTGGTGCGATCATCCCCCTTGCGCGGAGTGAGGGGTTGATTGAAAGCCCGAACAACCATTCACATTCCCTCGTCTGCACGAGACCGGCGTTACCGGTCTTCCTGCATAACAGGATGGTTAGCGTTATACTCAAGACACTACAATAATGCGCGAGTGTCCCATGCCTATCGCCGTCGAGGATTCTACCCACACCTGGTCGGGGAAAAGGCCTCTATTGGATGGATGTAATGATCCCCCCGGGATAGTAGGTGGACAATCGGCACTCGATGGTACTGAGCATACACACGAGGGCAACGCCCACGTCGTGCATGGAACGTACATCGACCACGCCGGCAAAACAGCGGTAGCAGTGAGAGATGACAGCCACCTTGACAACAATGAGATTGACGGGAAGGACGATAGTGCGAGGCACCAGCACGATCACACAAAGCTACGACTACACGACGACCGCAGCACACTATAACTTCCACAAGGCAAACCCAAGCGGTGGAACACTGTATTCAAGCGTCACATGTGTGTATCGTATCGTCAGGATCAGGCCGATGACAGCGACATTTACTTGATACAGAAAGGCGGATGGTGAATACGACGGACACGTCAAACGACAAGAGGCTAATCCCAAAAATGTCCGACCTCATTCATCAAACAATGGAAAATGGTACTACTATTACACAAGAGAAGATGAACACAGCAGCAAGAGACGAGACACGAGGACCCACCTGGGGGGAGGGGTCTGAGTCCGAAGAGCTGGAGTTGCTTGGTGCTTCAGTGATTGGGTCCTCTTCAGCATCCAGCCACATGTCTCCCACAAACCTGTCATAGCAGTCCATAAACCAAGCCGTAAAGAAATGAGATTGCACTCTGTTGGCACTGCACTGATAGCGCGTCCCGAGGGTGGAAGCAGATTAGATCAGCCCTCGTGTTCGCATGACACCGTGACATTACCCCCCCCGCTCAGAGGGAAAAGCAATGGACCCTTGTCCTTCATTCGACGGGTGCCATTGCTCAGGTGTCCAACCGCTGCAGTATCACCCACCCATCACCCTCACGGGATAGCCGTACAATAATGCAGCTCTGCAAAATCTACAGACAGGACACCCACCTCTCACTCAGCACTCCGTGCCTCCTACTATCTACTTCTACTCAGCATTGTACCACAGCAGTGTAAGAGTTCGAGGAGAATCAGCTGCTGGTCCCGACCCTTGGCCAAACTTTTCCCTACGTAAACGAGCAAGCTGCTGCTGTACAAGCCCTCGCGAGTTACCGCCGACAACAACAGCGTCATCGACGCCCGAAAGAGGTAGGCATACATGCCTGTAGCGTAAACAACCAACGTACATATTCTTGCAAGGCTTTAAGATCACACAACTGCATGTATTCCCCGAAAAAAAATTTGTCTGGCAGGCTTCACATGTCACTACTGCAGTGTTTTCATGTTCTGCCGTCGGGGTGGCTACTACCGAGCTACCGCTGGGTGTAGCAAAAGCGCGAAGCAGTAACGTGGCAGGCAGCCGTGAACATCCACAAGTCAATGTATACTGCTCCCCAGGAACGCTCCAAAGAACGACGGGAAGAACGATGCTAAGAGACAAGAGAGAAAAGAGAGGGACGGAACGGGACGGCGTCACCATCTCGACGAGAAACCGACGAGAAAACCAGCTCACAGCAGCTACTGCTGTACAAGGGTAGACGACAGGGTAGATCGTCTGTCGGTAGGTTGCACGGAGCGCGTATGTACTGCTGTTCCTGCACGTGAAGGCTACGCCTGTGTGCAGGAAAGATAGCCGGCGTCTGACTCTGAAGTTCGACCACTATACAACGCTGAAAACATATATCTACACGCGCTGCGAGAGACAGAGATAGAGAGAAAGATAGAGAGAGTGAGGGGGGGGGGATGAAGGTAACGCCCTACAGTATTCCCTGCTCACCCCGTACACGACAACAGTGCACATCACCTCAGGTGACAACAAGCAAGCGCACGACTTGGGCGCTACAGGAAAGGGAGAAGACAGGAGAGGCCTGTGACAGATGCACCGTCGCCTTTGCCCTGTTGTTCTGGAACTTGATGTTTCTCATACAACATGCTTCGTACAACCCAACCTTAACCTCCCACAGTTCGTGCATTGCTCCAGACTGCTGTAGTCCGCCGATCAATTATACAGGCACGCACCCCCAGCCTGAAGGAGGGAGAGCACGCCACGCCATGCTACCAAAATGCTATAAAACCTGAACCCCATACCATGGGAAACATGCGCGGGTGTCATCATGTTTATTGCTCAATGTGCTCATCGGTTCTCTAAGCCACTTGGGATGGTGATGAGCGAGAGCACCAGCCAGGGTCACGGGGTCTACACGGGAGGAAGTTCAAGTACAGCAAGAGTTGGCTTGTTTTTCTCCTCTACTGCTGTACTCTCCACCACTCTCATGCGGTGCTTGACGCCGCTCTTGTGGGGGAAGGTATGCATATTCAGGGTTCACATCAGGCATTATTTCCTCGGCCGGTCACCGGAATATTTTTCAACAGGTGCATATTTCCTACGTTTGTTAGGTAAAAGAAACATGAAGTGAGAACATTCACATGGCTGCGAGCCCATGATACCTCGCCTGTGAGCTAGGTATGCAAACAAGAGCGCTAGTATTGCATCATCTTCCGAGCCATGAATCGAAGGCGTCCACGGAGAAGTGCTATGTTCACAACGCCCGAAGAGTGGCGGGATAGAGCAAAAGGGGTGTGACGTGACATGACATGGAAGTTGGTGGAGGTAAGAACGGAATAGCAGCACTAGTAGCACCACCGTACAGCAGCAATGTGCATGCAATACAAGGTACACTACGATATTCTCGGGAAGCAGCAAAGGCCCGGGTGCAAAGAAAAAATAACGGCGTGAGATGACGATGGACACGTCAGAAATTGATCGGCAGCAGAAGGTAGGCCTCTTGCTATTGATCGTTGTTGCGAGCTTGCTCATCACCATCCTATCCAAGCACCAACACGCGAAAGACAACAGTGCCACAAGCACGCCGAAGCTTCCGAGTGGCAGAACCTTCACCTCCGCGCACCCCAAATGAAGCAAACCGTAAATAACTCCGTCCAAGTACTAGCCAGGGGACCCTCACGAACATCCCTTCAATACTTTAGTACTTTAACAAGCATGCAACGTCGAGTCGCACAGATTTATAAACAGCAGCACTGCTGTGAGAGTACGCAGCAGGAGGCGGAAAAGCTGGATCCCACAAAGCAACTCGAAAGGGCGGGGGCGGGGGAAACGAACACAAGACATCGGGATACGCATACGAAGTTGCACCGATGAGCGCACAGACGAATCAGAGCAAACACGAAATGTATACCGTATGCACACGAGAAGAGAGGCGTACCAGTGCCACCGAGTGCGTCAAAAGTATTCGAACCACTGCCTTTCGCCGTCGTCTTGGCTAACAGCTGCAGCAACTACTTGAAGTACATGAATGTGTTGCTGTGGTAACCTTTGCGATTCATACTTGAACGTGGGTCTTCGTGTGTACCCTACAGCTGCAGTATTTGGGACAGCTCGTGACGTTGTTGTGGAATGCGAAGCCGTTGCGCACACCACACCACACTCCGAGGTCGGGGAAGGAGTACACAAGAAAGACGACAGGAGGACAGGAGAATGTCTCCATCTCTCAATGTCTGGGTCGAGGACGGAGGCGGAACCGTTTGGAACATGGGCACGTAGTTGGGTCCTGCGGAGCCTACACCGGCATCAACATCGATCGGCGGATGGCATGTTCGCATTTCCGGAAAAAAACGCCCAGAATTGCGAGTTGGTTGGGTCCGATGCGAACGGGATAGAGGGTTGAGAAGGAGGCGACAACAGAAAACGCTCTTCATTGTTCTACGCACGTGGTCGATAGCAGTTCGTGTACGGCAGGCGGTCGGGCGATGAAAATATGAAGAATGCTCGTGTGTTCTGTTCGCGGACGGAGCAAGTGCGGACAGACTTCCGCCTGTGCAACACACGCGCTGTGTTTTGATTTTTGATTCTGCTGCGCGAAACCCAATCCCCATTGAACGCGAGCTATCGCCTGCCGTAAAGTGCGAAGGGCGAGGGTAAGCCGATCAGCTCAGCATCTCGAGTGGGGTGGTGGGTTCGGCAATGTATTGTAGTGAGAGTTCTGGTAACACGCACACAATCGGCCAACACAGAAGAAATACCGATCGGGCCGCCTCGGGACGATGGAGTGGATGTTGGTATAACACGTTTTCCACCAGGTGCGTCTGGGACGCCCAGTACTGATTGTCTGGTTTCGCGTGTGCACATTACACACAGGGTGGGCCTCGTGTCCCTCCCCTGCTGATGGGTGCTAAGTGTCTCACTTTGGAACCACACCATACATTTATTGGATAAGGCTGCACTTGTCCGAAATTTAGACTACAAGCAGTTGCTGCATATCCTTCCAAGCTGCTGTTGCGCCAGCACTCCGCGCACGACTGCTGTTGTGACCACACAAGGTTGAGCTTCTGGGGGAGCCAAGAAGCTCGCCAAGCATCCATGGCAGTTGTATCTGTCGTACGCGAACTAACGCTTCAGTGCATGCTGCCAGTCTTGAGCACACACAAGCGTGACGATAAATACTTCAGGAATCTATTTATCAGTAGGCTGAGATGCGATGCGTTACTCACTCCAGTGTGCGGGAGAAACGGTACACACGTACGTGAAGCCCTCCTTCGAAACACCAAAAACACAAGGCACAGAACACACCTTGATGGATCCCCATGGTCGGAGCTTCCTCCGTTGTCTGGAACCACATTCGCCATCCTTCGCTCCCCAGCGTCTGTCCACCACCCACCTCACCGGAGATGGAGCTAGAAGCAATGATCAAAATCAGTGATGAAATGGCGTGGTGCCACAACACTTCCTTGGCCTGGGGGTTCCGTAGAATACACTTCCATTCTGGTTTTCAGGCGGGTGGGACAAACAAAACGCCTCCGGAACCGTTCTCTCGGAATACTAAAGGGCCCATCGCCAAATCTGCTCACCGTAATTCGGCCGCATCGGGACCCACCGGAACCGGTGCAGCCGTGGCAACACCACCCAAACCTCCCGCCGGTGCTCTCCGTCCTGCTGCCAACCACACATCAACGTGCTCACATGAGTACTGACCATCTGTGGATTTTTTGACGAGGCCAGCGTTGGTGTTGTCCAAGACACTTTCTTCGCGCGCGTGCTCGCTGCTCCCCTCAACGCTGAGGCGTGTGCCCTCTCGCACTTTTCTCTCCTGCCAAGCTGCCATTGGGATGCTTGGCTTCCGCGTGCTTGGCTTAGCGCTCCTCGCTTACACTGCCATTTGGGTAGCAGCCTACCGAGGGCTGTGGTATGATAGCCATGTGTTTGCCAGGAAGAGCTCAGCGTTTGAGTTTAACCAAGGCGACTTCTACGTGTCAGGTTGGTACAAATACTATGAAATTTGTTTGCCCGTCTGGGTACATGTCATTTTGGTGGTGTAATTGCGTATAAAAATCAAAATGTCACGACTTCCGCTGTTTAAGGCGAGCAGGGAGGTGAGCGGTGCGGAGATAGTCATGTCTGTGAATCTGTATGCATAGGCTCTTATACATTTTGCGGTATAACGTTGCGGCGGAGGTACTTCACGACAGTCTGCTTGCGTAGGCGATGCGCCACCCACTGCTTACGGCATATTCCCTACATTCGACGAATGCTCCACTGCTGTAGTTTGTGTGGATCCAGTAGTAGAACTTCACCCACTCTTGTCCAACACGCCCTTTCGATTCTCGCTGTAGGTGGCAAGGCGAGGATTCTGGTGTTCTTCGTGGCACCGATTCTCCTAGCAGCAGTCTGCGGTGCATGTTGGGAGGCTGCTCAAATAGTGAACCAGTTCCGGAGGCTTCGACACACGGTGCCCTTGGACACCACTCGGGCAGGCAACAGTAGCAGCAGCAACGTCGTTGGAGGCACCGGAAAAGAAATCGCTGGCAAGCAGCCAAAATCGCGTCGGCTGTGGACATTTCTGCATTACAATATTCGTCCGCTGGGGGAGGGTTCTCCGTGAGTTGCATTGGAATATGATACTTCGTACCTGGGTAATGAACGATTCACCAGCCTTTCGCTGCGATTCGCGTTTCGGTATATTTCATTGGTAGTCATTTTGACGTGTTTTGTGCTTCGGTACACGTTTCGCTCGTGACAGCGCTTCGTTTCTCACGCTTCCTTCTCAGGGGCCCACTGGGGGCTGTACATCACAGTGCCCGAGCGAGGGCTGCTAGGCATCCGTGGCGGGTGCTATCAAAGCCTGAAGTCACGTTCTGTGCCACAACGGTCTTCATAGGATTTAAAAGACATTTACATTCATGCGCACAAACTTGGGCACTATTGACTCCTGCGCAAGACACACACCTTCCCACACACCATGAACAACGCGGTTCAAAACGTAAGAGAGCGATCAAGAGCAGCGGGCTACGGCGGTAGGATCTGCGGAAAATACGCCGCTTGCCTAATATTTAGCACACACACGCCCACGCACACGCGAAAAGTAAAGACGAGATTTTCTTTTGTCCCTTCACATGGCGTGATGCGAGATAAACTCCCAGCTACAGTTCGTATTCTAAAACAGCACTAAGAGCCGTTGAGATCCAACAATATGTAATCCGTGATGGCATTGGCCACGTCCTCTTGCGTCGCCCCCGGGAGGCAGGCCAACCCCCCCCCCCCGAAAGGAAGTCGTGTGGATTTCGTATTTTGAGATGAACCGTGGCGAGGAGACATGGCAGTGGCAAAAAACTCAAAATTCGCCTGGACAGCATATTTGGTCGTGTTGCAGGCTGTGTTGTTGCGCGTACAGCGGTGGTGTGAACGATGAACGACAGCGTGGTTGTTGTCACCGGGAGGAGGCAATGCCCACGGTTGCCTGCCCGAGTGTGACCTAGGTATATGTTTTAATGCCAAGCACACGCGCGCGTGTGCCATGCACGAATACGCCGGGCTTTATTCGATATGTATCATGACATCATGACAACAGGCGTTCTCCCACAGGGGCTCAGCTCCCGCGTTACGAATGCTCAGCAGTAGTAGCACGTCTGTCGAAACAACGGCGGCCATGACCATAGTGGTACTGACACTGTATTTGTTTGTCAAACGGGTACATGTGTGCATCTTGTTCCATATCGCCTGTGTGTGTTTATTTGAGCAGATGGATGACTGTCGGAGAGGTTCTTGCGCTCCTGGGATACGTTATTTTGATTATCACGATGGTCTGGCAAGGGGTGAACTTCAAAGTGCAGGAGTACTCCGAGCAACATAGCACGGGGACCGGCAACTCGCTGATCATGTGAGTACTACAATGTTGGTCTTTACTTGATTCCTTACAATTCAAGCCATACGCCGTTGGAAGGCTCACACCGCAGGGCTCTCTAACGTTATTGGAACATTGCGCTCGCGTTGAAGTATAGCTTTACAAGAGCGTCAAAGAAAACTGTGTTAATCCTAGAAGTTTCAATGCTTAGTGAGAAAGCTATAGGGAGCAGCTGCCCACCAAGTGATGCAGACGCTCGTACACTCGGAGTATTATATATCCTGGACTGCCGCTGAGAGTGTCCCACTTGAAGTGACTACTGGGACTGTTGCTCAACGAATGGGAATCCGTATGTGCAGCAGCAGTTGTTTTTTCGCGCTGTGAGATTCTTTGTTGACCGTAGCCCATGAATCATCTTGTCTCACTATTTCGAGTTCTGTCTTTCAGCTAGAATTCAAAGAGAAGCTTGCCGCAATCGATCAAATTGGACACATTCAGGGCGCATACCAGAGCTGCACCGCAGTACAATGTTTGGCATTTGCCCCACCTGGCAGCTTGTATGGGTATTCATATGACAACCCCATATATTTCTTTGTGTTTGTCCAAGAAGGTCTTCACACATGGTCTCACCCGCGTCCCCACATTGTGAACCCAGTATTGAGCGCGGCCTTCGATGCGAAGCTCGGTTGCCCTAGACACTGTTGCCTGGCCCTTGTCCCCGGTTCCGGTGTGGCGAGACGACGAAGCTTGGCCCGACAGCATTTGCCAAGGACAACATCACGTTACGTGTATCATATCTGTTTCTCGTTCAGTTTTCTGGGAAGGCGATCCACTCGCCAAACGATCCGTGCAAGCTCTTCAACGTTTCCCCTCTCTTTTGTATCGATCTCTTTTCGGCAGACTAAAGAACATCGCCAAGTACACGGGGTTTGCGGCGGCAATCCAGTTCAGCATTGTCCTCATCCCGGTATCCCGCGACAGCAAGATCTGGTCGACGATCGGAGTGCCTGTCGAGCGCGCTATTCTCTATCACACAACGCTCGGCCACTTGGCATTCGTCAGCCTCTTCTTGCATGGGATCCTGTACATGGCCTACTACGTACAGAAACATGGCTGGGCGTACGCGGTGAATTCCTCGTTTCATTACAAGGGAAAAGGGGTCAACGTCCCTGCGGGTGTGTATCTTGCCAACTGTGATGTGTCGTGCGCACGCCGATCCAACATGGCGGGTTGTATGGCCAGCTCTATTGGTGATTTGGTTTAGCTTCACCGATACTAGAGGAACGTTGGATGATGTCCCCGAGACCGGGCGCGCTGTCCCTATCTGGTAAGGCAAATCCAAGCTGCAAGTCAGAACCATAGGCGATACGATCCAAGCAGGGTCGTTTTACGTTGGTCTCGAACGTTGCCTTCCAGGTCGTTGGAAGAGCCATGAAACGGTCCTGAAGACTCCCATGTCTTCTGAATGCTCGGTCTCTTCTCTTGCGCTTTTTTTTGTGTGAATTGTCTCTTTGCCTCTTGGTGGCAGGTTTCATCGCCGGCCTTTGTGCCCTTCCGATGTGGGTCTTGTCGCTGCACTTCTTCAGGCGAGAGTACTACCGGCTCTTCAAGACGGGCCACTTTTTATTCATCGGCGTTTTCGGCGCCGGAATGGTCCACTATGACGGCTTCGTCCACTATCTATTGGCCGGCTTCGTGCTGTACCTTGTCCACGCGGTCTATCGCCTGGGTAACTGGAACTGGTGAGAGCCTCGCGCTTGGTGCCATCGATATCTCGCAAGAACTGCTACTGAATGAGTAATATTTTCTTGGGCGATTGTTCGGCAAGAGTTGTGGCGCCTAGCTACATGTGTCGGCCGATCCCTACCTCATTCTATACAAACAGGGCAGTCGTCAATGTCTGGGCTTCTTCGATGGCGTGGAGATAATCCAGGAAGCCACCGGGTGATACAGAATAATACCCGTTCAGAGGCAGTCAGTCAGTCAATCCGAGGCAGTTGGTATATCCTTCCTTGGGCGTCTGAAGTCGTATGGACGGATTGTAGGGTTCACCGTTGCTTCTGTGTGCTTGGTTTGAGTAAATTGCGTTGGGAGAGTTCGACGTTCGGTACTTTCTCGTTGCTGTATGTGCGCCGCCACCGTACATGGCAGCATTGGAATAATTGCCTGGGAATCAAATACCTACAGTTCAACCATTACAGCTCGACAAGTGTCCCGAAACTTGCGGTACCACCGCGATGTCACGCACCCGAAGTGGGTTTTTCCTGGAGTTGTCGTGCAGCGGATCCTTAGGGTTTCGGCTACGACTCGAGTTCGACACCTCCCATGCCTGTGCGAAAATTCAATTTTATTGTGTTCGCTGTTGCTCTTTCAGCGCACCCCTGTGCTGCATATCCAGCCTCTGCTAGATAGCTCCACTGTTCAACTTTCCAACTTTTAGCGTACGCTTCCCCCGGTTGCCGCTACGCCCCTGTACCATGCCGCCATAACAACAGGTGGAGTGTGCTCAGGCAGTGCTTTTGCAAGAGTTCAGCTAGAGGTTGCGGCGGTTGCGCTCTCGTGCACCTTGAAGCAGGGGACGGGTACACGCGCCTGGTGTTGCGAAACCCTAGCAACCACAGTCCGGCCAAAGGAGGCGCATTCGTGTACATCAGTGTACCCGCACTCCTAGGCACGATTGAGGCCCACCCCATGTCTGTGGCTCTGCGAGGCGCCCCGCCCCATCTCTGGAACGCCGCGTTCGACGACGGAGTCTTCACGCTATGTGAGAGCTATACGAGCATCTCACCGTTGTACCGATCTTGGTTGATTTCTGATGGTGATGTGAAAACAGTGGGTACGAAACACGTGACCAAATTTCGTGATCTCCCGTAACTCGTTTATAGCATTGCTCGAACTAGATCGACGAATGCTCAAGGTACGTGTGTTATCATTGCCCACCGCTGTCATCTAGTCAGTGGTACAGAATACTTGACGCTGTGTAGATCGTAAGTGAAACGAGCAATTAGGCTATAAATCGATGTGAACTCTCACCTTTCTTGGCATTAAACGCTAGAACGCGAACAAGCATCACGGGTGCGAGTAATACCCATGCCTGATCGCACTGCGCCACGCCTGGGCACTAGCACCTGAAGAAGTGGTGGTCCAAGATCCCCTTCTCTGAACCTTGTCTATCGCTTCCGAAAATCGACAGACGTGAAGACTATGGGCTCATGGACGCTAGCCCTGCAAAAGCAGGAAAGTGACGACCTCACCGTTCATGTGGACGGGCTGTATGGCGGTGCACCGTCGCTGGCATCCATGAAACAAGCGGGATTCCCAAGGGTGGTTTTGTTTGCAGGCGGCAGTGGCGTCACATCCTTCACGACTCTAATCCAGGTGATTGCCGAGCTATACTCTATCGCAACTGGCTACGGATGACCCGGACGCAAAATTGCAACTTGTATTTGTGTTCTATAGCCGCTACTTCATGGCTCGCTGTGGGCGGCAAGCGGTATCGTAAATCAGAACGCGATTTGAAACTTAAACAGGAGTCCTGTTCGACGGCATGCCGGGATTTGGGTGGTTGTGACAAGCTTGGTTGATTCAGCAGCAGGTGGCCCGCACGCTCAAGAGCGTTGCTCTCTGTTGACCGGTTGATACCCACTAGGTTTTGTTCGCTCTCGATTTGTGTGCAATACTCGACGTTCTTGCTTCCGTCGAAACGCCTTCACAGGACTGGTGTGAGGCCTACAGCGGCGGCGAGGATGTGCCTGCGGTTCACCTGGTCTGGTCTTGTCGAAGCATGTCGGAGATTGAGCTCCTGGGCGAGGCTATTCCCTCGTTCCTCGCCGCTGCTCCAGCCGGCGCAGAGTCTCTTTTCAACATGTCCATGTTTTGCAGCGGGAAGGTGGCTGGTGTGGTTGTCGTGACACTTGTTTTGAATTGTTGATGCTGTTGGGCCCATGTCAACACGCTTGCAACCCCCTTGGTATGTGGATAGCCACGTGGTCCTTCCATACCTGATTCTCAGGGTGGAAGAAGTATGTTGCATGAAGTACCTCTCTTGTGCATGTCTCTCTTCAAACGGTGCTGACTGTCACTATGGATGTGGCGTTTGGTGGCCGCTAAGCGCGTGTTTTGTGCTTTCCTTTGGTGCATGACGCATGGACTTGGCGATGAGAAAGGTCTCGCGTCTTGCGCGGTCTACCGGACAGTGTTTGCTTCCGAACGTGGTTGCCGCCTAATATGGGTGTATCATCCTCTTTACGTGCGCCCTGGAACATGCGTTTGCACAATCAGCACGTGCCACGCTACCGCGCTATTGTTGTTTAACGGTATTTCGTAGAAATCAAATCACCGCTCATGTACGGTTTCCCTCTGTTCCTCCTGCCTGGTTTTTCACTCCACAGACTGGAGGAGACAGCCCGGAGACCGTATCATGGTCCATCTTCAAGGCGTCTGAACACCTAGGACACGTGCACGCAAATCCTACGTCGCAGGCAGTAATTGACTCGCTCAATAACGGTGTACGCACCCTGATCGCAGGCGAGTGCCCTTGGCCAACACTTGCGTCATTCCTTCTTGCCATCCGGGTAGGTTACGTTACAACCTTCAAGCGCGTTTCGACCATTGGATTATCTGCAGTGCATACCACAAAGAGCGCGAAAGGAGTGGATATTTCCTCTTTCCGGCGGAACAATGCGCATGCGTTGAGTTGATTCCGTTTTAGAGAATATTTTGTGAACATGGGTGGACCGTCCCTTCATTAACAAGTGTGTCACGTCTATAAACAAGTGTATCACCTCTCGTTGATCGTGCGCCCCACGGAGCACTCGATGTCTAGTAGAAGTAGCTGTAATGTGCACGTCAATCGCTTTTGTCCGCCTTTCGACCCTCCTCTTTGGTTTCGTGGGGTGCGAGCAGACCTTGTGGTCGTTGTTGCTGTCGGTCAACCAAGTCCGTGGGCTCAATTCCGGCTGTCGAGTCGCCAGGCTAACAAGGATAACGACCGCTCTCGCCTTTTGTGGCGTGGCGGGTGACGGCAGGTGTCGTTGTCATTGTGGTCATAGTGGCACGGTCTTCGCCTGTGAGTACGGAAATTTTCGCACCCTTTCAGTTATTTTGTCACGATTTGGATAGCATCACCTGTTCCGTCCCTGCCCTGTACACATGGGATTTTTGTACCTTGGAAAAGTTAGCGGCGCATTTTTGGATGTTTTTCGAAGATATGTTTGTGATACGTTGGGACGAATGTGTCGTTGCCCCGCGCCACGGCACCCTTCGCCCCTCCCCCTTCTGCCTTCCTGTGGTCGTTAACTCCTGATTCGATTCAATCACGCTGAAGGCGGTGGTGCGTTGGCTGGATGGTTTTGGGCTGAGAACTTGGCCCAGGGGGCTCTCTTGGAAGGTAGGGTATTCTGCTTTCTGGCGAAACGATGAATGATGAGCCTGCTCCATAAGACAATCGGCCGAAGAGCGTAATATGGGCGGTGTCGGACTTGAGGGGTTGCCGCGTGGAAAAATAAGTCTAGTACGGGCGAAGAACAAACCGTCGCCGTAGAGACGACCTGCCTGCGGCCGATGATCACTTTTCGTAAGAAGACGAATGCTTTAGCGCTACCTAACGGCTAATTCATCACGAGCGTCGAGTGGACTGACCATCATTCCGTAGACGACCAACCCTTGGTACCGTGGAAGGCGAGCGGTTTTCGGTAGACTCTCGCGGTACAATGGATAACTTTTTCTTGGTTCCCACCGTGAGTGTTGAAAATGCGACTGTCCGTTCACTTCCGTGCGTACCTCTCCCACCTCCTTTCCTAACCTTTTCGGCGTTCTTGTTTTGCCCTATCTTGCGGACGCGGCATCTGTCGCTTGTGATCCAGGTGTTGCAGTCCTAGTCTTGATGACCATTGTTCCTGCCAGCCTGCTGGTTGTGTACGGATGGATTTCAAGCCTCCTCATTGGAGCGTTGATAGCGAAGAAGCCGTTTCGCAAGGTGCTTACCAAGCGTGTGACGTTCACTCGTTTAGCTAAGAAACATTTTTGGTTAATGAGGTTTGTTCCGTTTTCGGGTATCTTCTTCCTGTCTGATCAGCCTCGGTTTCGACCGTCGCCAGGCATCGTAGACGTATGTACAAGCCGTCGCAAGAGACGTGTCCAAGTTCAAAGATGCCTAGAAAGAGACATGATTGCAATATGCTGCAGTAGACGCTGTGTCAAAGGTGGGTTATCACTGCTGTTGTCGACAGGGAGCGTTGGTGTGCGTCCGAATGACGCAGCTGCGGTTTTTGTGCTGCTACCGGCGGTTCGGGAACCACCCACCGCGACGTGGTCTCATGCGTCAACAGCACCCCAACATAGTGTGTTCCGGTGGGCGGATAGGGTCATCACTGATCGCTTGCACCACCGTCTCCCCCCTACGCTCACAGCGGTATTCCCAGCTGAGGGAGACGGCTGCGGACCGAGACGAACCAGATGTAGCAGTTGGTGGCCAAGGCGAGAACATCAATCCTGGTGGGGGCGGTGGTCGTGGCGCACGCAAGACCTTTCCCGTCAGCGCCGGCCGCATGCCAGTCCACGAGGTGCTGCTGTCGGAACAGGAAAATGCCTCAAGAGAGGGGATCGACAGGGTCAAGGTGAGCCCAGTAGCCTTAAGCTGTGCTGTTTTGGTGCTTGAAATGCGACGCAGCATAGCTGTGTTCGATACCTGACCCTGACCAGTTACCACAGGATACCTTTGACGGAGCAACCCCGCGGAAGACGGGCTCTACCAGTGCTCGTGCGATTTCACCCATTCTCAGCCCCCCTAGGGGACTGAGATTCTGTCCCACGAGATTTTTGATGAAGCTAGATCTATAACACAAAGATAGATTTCCCGACCACTACTTTTTTTAAGCACCTTTTGATCCATGCAATCTACTCAATCAACCTGTGCCCTCTCCATTGCCAAGTCCCTCACCCTCGTACATCCGCGGGGCTGGTGCACAACAGCCCCATGAAAATCATCCTAGCCTCTATTCGGCAACGATAACGGCCAGAGACCCGTGCTGGGGCCTGATCAGTGAGCCACCACAGAATAATCATCCTCATGTCTGGGTGCCGTGCTTGGACAAAACACGAAACACAGCTACAGTTTGGTCGGTTCACCTGTCCCGTATCGAAGATCTGCACCGTTGCTGTTGGAGACCTGCTGTGTGATGCGCGAAAGTGCATCTCCCCGAGCCTCGCAAAAGACCGCGTGACACCTCCCCACCCTGCTGAGTTGCAGGCCGCGAGCGGCAACAGCTGATGCAGCAAAGTATAGTTTGCCATGCGGCCCTCTCTCCATCGCACCAACCACGGGCCTTCGTGGCATCCCGAAACGGACCACCACACTGCTGTACGCATGACGCATGCTCTTGAACCCTCGAAATTTCGAAATCTCGGATTTCTGTGCATCACGTCTTGCACCCGCGCGCGTCTCTCACCCGCTCTTTCATCGCCGCGCGTGGTTTACCCTCACCCAACTACGCATTCAGCACACAAACACACTATCTACGATGCGCGTACGTAACAACAGTACCGCTATGTGTGGCGGTTGGCTATGTGCATGGCGACAACTAGCTGCAACCAAGTCATCTCCTCTTCAAAGAGTCGTCGTGTCAGAGATATGAAGTATTCTTCGGAAATATCTAAGCTGAGAATTTTGGAGCCTTTTCACCAGCCCGTCATGCATTGTGTTTCCACCACGGTGCCGCTGTGACCAGAGTCTGTCACACGACCGTCGAGAGAAGCATGCCTGTGAGTGGTGTTGCTATCGTTGTTGCTATCTATCGGTATATCGCCGCCTTCTCTTTGGCTCAATTGCATCAGTGTGCCACGGCGTTTTCGGGCGTCATGATCATTGCAGTCATATGAGTGAATCGAGAGTCTCTGTCCCCCAACTCTACGCCTCTGTTACATTGCTGCTGTTCAACCTGTCCCACCTGCCTTCAACTCTGTCTTCACGCACATGTCTTCGAGCCCCGGCCCGTGTGTCAGACTCGGGTCTGTTCGTTAGATGTATACGGGGACAGTGGGCGGGGCGTGGTGTGGTTTCCACAGCAGCGGTGGAAGTGGTACACACATCTGTTCAAAGGGTTGTTACTTACTCTCTGGGCCCACAGCAGTAGTTGTTACTTGTTCAGGACACCTGAGAGCTAAAATCTCGCATGAATTATGCGCTCGCGAGGCACGTTCTTGCCGTTGCCGAGGCGCGCTCTTTGTGGAATGTTCGGAAAAGGCTTGGGGCCGGGGAGCTACCTCCTTTGTAGTCTATGCAGTTCATATGATTTTTACTGGAGAGTGCTGACTGCGTAGGTGTAGTCATGAGCACGATGCATGGCTGATCTCGTGCACTATCAACCGTCCCACAGTTAGAGACAAACGGTGACCTCGGCAGGCCCATCGAACCGAAATGGACGTAAAGAACCCATGTGAACACCCGGACACCCTGTTTCAAGTAGAAATATGGTTTTCTCGTATCGGCCGGTTTGAACCCTGAGTAAACACAACCCCCCCCCGCCATCTTTCCTTGCCCCAGTTGCTGGTAGTGAAACTTTAAGCTGTTGTTTTCACCACACCATTCAGTACGGTGGTTCGTCTATCCTAAACGAGGATGTGCTACGGTACGTCAGATTTCAAAGTTGTGCGTAACGCACCTGAGACGAGCAAGCAGGTAATTCTTTTTACCAACCGTCAATCGATACTGAGCTTTCTGCCGGAACGGGCTGTCTTTTCATATCGATCTGGTGAGGATACATTAGGCAATGGGGCACACTTCTGCTAGGGTTTACAAGGAGATGTCTAGTCCGAATGCCAGTCTCCACCGTCAAATAAACCTACCCCGGACGTTTGTAGATGGCAGATGAAGGACGTCATCCGACATTTGGGGTCCCATTCGTTCGGGGATGACTTTGTTACCTTAGGCAGGACGCAGATAGCAAGCGCGTTGTTACCCTATCGCATTGGCACAGGTGGGTTCCCGCTGTCTGGAAACATGGACAAGATTTTATCTAGCTTCATGGCGGAAGGACACATGCAGTTATGATGAAGCTACCGTAAGGTTGCGGCTGCTCTGTTGCTGTGCTCTTAGATCTCATAGCGTCATGCATTTCACGTTTCTTAACGGAACAAGAAGTCAACACACGGCGAAAAACGTGTTCGTTTTTTTTGTTGTTGTCAACCAGCTGCTTGTCGGCCCTGTGTCGCTCGGCTTGTGTAAGGCACGAAGAACATTGTCGACACGGGCAGCGTGTTTGTTTTCGTTTTCGTTTTCGTTTTCGTTTTTTGTTTTCTCACTCATTGTGTCGCTTACATTGTCTTATTGTCTCGTCGACATCTACAGGTGCTTGTAAGCGGCCCGCGCGGCATGGTGGACGCCGTCATGATGGAAGCGCGCAGAATCAGCTGGAAGGTGTTCGATGTGGAAACCGCCTCGCGCGAGTTGTAGGTGCTCAAATTCATTCCCGACAACGGATAGTCCCGTCCTGTGATGACCGTTGCGTGTCTATGCTGGGCCGTGGCAGCCGTATGCATTCCAACATGATATCCCGCTAATCTTTGCAGAACTCTAGACTAGGTGCTTTGGCCAAGAATTGTAAATAGATTGATGGTGATCCCAGTGGCTTTTGGTATGCACTCTACTTCGCAGACCAGGTACAACACTCGAAACAAAATGTTGCACGTTGCTGTAGGACAGGGCTTGTCACGAGAGTAGAAGTGTGTCTGTTGATGACGTTTGACAGGTCGCCCGGAAGTATGTGATGAAGGAGCCTACATGTGGCCTGGTGAGGTGTTATCGCTGAAAGTGAACCATGCGTAAAGCACAAGTACCTGCAGCCGAACCCGAACTTCTTGAAAGGAGGCTTGGGCGTCAAGTTCCTCGCCGAAGTCCTAGGAGGAAACGGGAATCGCCATACATCTGCTCTTCAGCAGCCTATGCTCATTCAGTCAGCTGGATGCGCGGCACAGCTCACGCGTCGCCGTGTTCTAATAATATTCCCGACGGCATGGTCCAGGGATTGTTTTTCTTCGGAGGTGTTGGGGAGGGTGTGATTTCCGTACAAGTGGGGCCGGTTGGGTTCAGGAAACAAACTATTGAGCTCTGTGCCTTTTCGCGCTATGTTGTTGAGAGGTCGGGTTCTGATTAGGATTTTACGTTGACCAAGAAAATAACGCCATGCTCGAAATATCCAAGAGTTTTTGATGAACGAGGCGAAATGTTCAAGGCTCCTTCCGGGAACGATTTCTCAATTCGGTAACGATTGGCACGGCAATCAGCGAACACGGTAATACACGGTAATATGTGGGTGGTAAGGGTCGTCCTAAACGACCTCGGAAGTTTACCTGCGATCGCAGGTTTCAGACCCCGGATCGCAGAAAAATAAATGCGGGCGTTTTAAACGAAGCAGAGCACAAAATTTAAAAAAACCTGCGATTTCTGCGATTTTGGCGGTCAAACCGCTCCCGACGACCGCAGAGGCCGTACACAACAGCAGAGGCCGTACACAGCAGACAAACATCCACCATGGCCGACCAAAACAGTGTGACACCGCGGGTGTCAAGGCCTAGGAGGGTTGGGTCCCTTCCTTTACGGTTCCAGACGAGCGGGGAAGTAGTTGCTGCTGCTGGTCATGGGTTAGGACGGCCTCAAATGCCTCCTGCTGTGGGCATCAGCCCTCCGCCAGGCATGTCTCGCGAGGACGTCGCCGGGAGTACCGCCGCTCGCTCAGCCCTGCAAGGTCGTCGGCAGGCGTCTAGGATAGATGCTGCGGCACGTACAGCTCAGCGGCCTGTGCTCCTGCCGTTGCAACACCGACCAGGACAAGGAAGGCCATCACGGCGGCCTTAATCGCAGCAGTAGAAGTCGTATCATGGTCTCTTTGGTCGGAGCGCCGCAGTCGCCGCCTTTGCGGAGCCGTCTGTGAGGTTCCCCGAAGCTCCCGGCGCCTTCTACTGTCGGCCATGGACCCTAGCCTACTCTAGCGATCAGTTCTGGGGGTTATAGTGCAGCTACGGGGGTGTTACAGATGGCTTGGTGTGCTGTGCCCGATCCAACGTGATGCTCTCAAGAGAATCGCAGAAATCGCAGGTTTGTACCTGCGATCGCAGAACAGGAGCAGAGGTGATTTTTTCGGCCCTGCTCCCGACCTGCGATCGCAGGTAAAAAGCCTCCACATTCGCAGGTAAAACCTGTGATCGCAGGATCCGCAGTTTTTTTTTGGCCTGTTTAGGTCGACCCTTAGGTCGACCCTCAGGTCGACCCTGACTGGCCATCAAGGTAACGTTTGGGTGGTAACTGGCAACCACGGCAGTGCACGGTAATATTTGGGTGGTAACCGCCCAGCACGGTAACTCCTACGGAAACTAGCCACCACGGGAATGCACGGTAATATTTGGGTGGTAACCGCCCAGCACGGTAACTCCTACGGAAACTAGCCACCACGGGAATGCACGGTAATATTTGGGTGGTAACTCGGCACGACGGTAATGCCGCGGTAGGGGGCCACCACGGTAATCCACCACGGTAATAAAATAATGCACGGTAACCTGTGTTGCGTTTTTTTTCAGTGCGCGTGACACCCAAACAGCGTGTTCCACAACGAACACGAAACACACGAATGGAACCTATCGCATTTCGTTTTTCAATTGTTTTGAGACTACAGGCGAAAATCTCGCGGTCAAGGTACCCAAAGACGAGGCAAAAGACAAAGGATCAAACAAATGACCTACATCAGAGCGACACCTCGAAGTACATCGTTCGATATCCGTGGGTGGAACTTCCGTTCGCATCCCCCATCCTTGGCCCAACCCGGTCTCAAATGCTGATCTCGGGCTACAGTGCAAATCTCGTGAGGCCTCAAGTATGGTTCGGTAGGGAATCATAAACCATGACCCATTCCCGAGTTTGAGCAGCTTGCACCTCCAGTGGCCGACACGACTCGGCCTTGACTGTTCCTTATCGGTTTCGCTATGGGAACGGCCAGTTGAACGAAAGAGGGGCCTGCGTGCTGCGCGCCACAACCTTTTTTTTTTCGTTTGTGAGTTTCTTCCTGAGTGGCCGTTGTACACATGCACAGCTTCCCCCTCGGCCTGCTCCCCGGCCGGGGCCGAAATCGACCTAGTGAGTCCCTCGCGGGCGAACCAGGCCACAACAGATAGTAGGCGGGTGGTGTCCCAAGGTGCAACTCACCGCCGCGCTGACTCAGCGTGGCGGTGAGGATGCACAGACGGTGGTAGTGGCGAGAGGTGTGTATGGACACTGTTCCCGCGGCAGTAATGCAGCAAAGCGGCAAACTGCACCTGGCAACCACCGTCGCGGAAAGCGTGGCCCACGAAGCTGGAGGAGTAGAGAATTTCGTAAACACCACGTCAGTAAGCACCACTAACGGGAGAAGGGAGACAACCGTGGGAACTGCGGGGAGGGAGTGCTGCACCCTCCTCGTCAAAACACCACAAGCAAGAACCGAGCCCTGCAGAGATGAATTGATGCGAGGAAATTCGCCGCTCGGAAATACGGAAGAAAGCACACCCGCAACGCGAGGTGGGCCGAGAGAGACACGAGACCGCAGCGGGCGTCAAGGCGGCTTCAGAAGGCACAAGAGGGCGACCTATCGTTCGGCACGTTCAACGTACGCACGCTCGCCTACAGCGGTAGGAACCCCATCGGTCACAACGTGATGACGGTCATGCAGATTTGTTCCGCGACCGGCTGTGATGTGATAGGACTTCAGGAGACCCGACGAGCGGGGCAAGGTTCAATTGCACACGACGGGTACGTGATCATTTGGAGTGGCGCCCGTGCTGGCACCAAGGACAAGAGGGGCGTACACGGTGTGGGCATAGCGATCAAGGAGGCCATGTGGGAGAGTGTGGGCGAGGAAGGTAGGACGGTGGAGTGCATTAGCCCGAGGCTGATGAAGGTGCGCATGCAAATTGGCCACACCTGCGTAGTAACTTTCGTGGTGGGGTACGCCCCCACGGAAACTGTCCGCACCACCGCGGGCGGTAATGTTAAAGCCAAGGACTCCTTCTGGACTGCTCTCGACGCAGCGATCCGGGAGGTTCACAGCCGTGTCCATCTCGTGGTGCTAATGGACGCCGACGCACGCATTGGTAGGAGGCGGGACGGGTGCTGCGATGTCAAGATTATGGGCGCGTACGGACGCGACATTATGAACAACAATGCGGAGCGAGTCCTTGGACTGGCATCAGACAACCAACTCTCCTTGACCAACACCTACTTCCGGACACCGAAAGGTGGAGTGCAGCACACATTCCAGAGCTCCAACAAGGGGAAGGAGAAGTACCGCCTCGACTTCATCCTCATGCGTCAGACGGACCGGCGTTTCGTGCGTAATGTCTCCGTCAAACGTGCCGACTTCAAGGACTCTGACCACAACCTCGTGCTAACGACTGTCCGCCCCCCCCTCCGTGTCGCACCCAACCGACGAGTGCGGGGGAACAGCGGAAGCAGCCGGATCCGTATCGACCTCGAGCGGTTGAGGAAGGACAAACACCTACGGGTCGCCTTCCAAAACAGGGCATCCAGCCGCCCTCCGCCCACGGCGCTCAGGCGACCAACGGGAGAGACCGCCGCCGAGCTGACGGCTACGGTGATGTCGGCCGCTGCTGAGACCGCGCCGCTGGCGAGGTGCGCACGAGCGTAAAGAGGCTGGTACATGAGCGAAGCACAGCACGAGATCTCCGAAGCGTCTAAAGAGATTAAGGCGGCCCAGCAGCAACTGCGTGGGGCCTCAAAGAACAGCGCCTTCGAGGCGACCCTGAAGGCGATGCTCAAGGCGGCGCGGAAGAAGCGCAGCATCGCGAGGTGGAGAGCACTGGAAACGTTCTTCGAGGGCTATGTACGGCAGCTCGAGAAGAAGAGCCGCGAGGGGGATCAGGCGGGTTTCTACAGGCACCTGAAGATGATCGACGTCGAAGGTAAGAGGTCGTTCACCTCTCAGAACATCAAGGACGAGGACGGCAAGGTCCTTCGGGACCCCACGTTTATTCGCCAACGGTGGGCACGGTGGTTCCACAAGCTTCTCAACACCAAGTCGCCGACCATCGACCTGCATGCGGCTGACAAGGTCAAGCGGTGGCCCACGTGCGTGCCACTCGACCACATCCCATCTCTACTGGAGGTTGAGGAAGCGGTACGGGAAATGGTCAACAGTAAGACCGTCGGGCCGGACGACCTACCGGCTGAGCTGATCAAGCTTTTCCTGGACGGAGGTCAAGGTCTCCTCCGCGAATTCCACGCCACTGTCGTGGACGTGTGGCAGGCTGGGGACGTACCACAGCAGTGAAATGATGCCACCATCAAATTGCTGATTAAGAAGGGGAACACGATGGAGTGCGGCAACTACCGGGGCATCTCTCTCGTCGCACACGCCGGCAAGGTGCTGCTTAAGGTCGTCGCTACACGACTGAGCCACTACTGCGAGCGAGAGGGCATCCTCCCGGAGGAGCAGAGCGGTTTTCGCACACACCGGTCGACGCTCGACATGCATCCAGTGGCTCCATGAGCTCGCGAGGAAGAAGAGTACTGCGGTGTTCGCGTGCTTCGTCGACCTCACCAAGGCATACGATTCGGTAGACCGAGACCTATTGTGGGACGTGCTCCGACGCTTCGGCGTGCCCCCGAAGATGCTGGCGGTCATTCGCCACTTCCACGAGGGCATGAGGGCGCG